TCCAGCGGAAGGCGGCAGTCCGCAGGAGGAGGGAAAGTGTCATTTGTCGTGCTCACACGCGCCCGGGCTGATGTCTCGTCTCTCCTGTCCCCCCCCCTCCCCCCCTGCCCCGCGTCGCGCGGTTCACAATTGGAGGGTTATAACGGGAGAACGGGGAACGCGCCGAGTTTTGAGAGGCTAGCGAGAGACGGGAGTCGGAAGGGAAAAATTAATGTCCTCGCGTGATCCATTGTTTCATTTGCCGGCTCATTCGTTTCGTTCGCGGCTTCTTATTGTACGCGCACGGTCTCCCTAGTCCTCCCGATATAATCCTCATGGCAACGAGCGTAATTTCATTTATGTGTTCATTCGGCTTGCCGACGAATCGTTCGTGTGTAATGTAACGCAAATAACGATAATCTCTTCAACGACTGAGCTTATTTTCGAGGTCGGAGTTGGAGTACCTCGCGTCTCATTCCCCGAGAAAGTTGAAGTCGCATACGAAGGATCTTTTGCACGATTTACCAGCGATTTTCCAGCGTGTAAAACCTACTTATCGGATTCGCCCGCTCTGAAATATCGAACTGCCGTGGAAGCGAACTTTTCGAACGTCAAATTGCACACGCGCGCATTTCAACTTCGTTCTTCGGTTCATCGATTTTGGCTTTTTTCTTTGATTTTTCCGCCTCTTCTATTCCGCTCCTTGCCGTTCTCTCTCGTCTGGAGAGTTATGAAAAGAAAAAAAACAAAAAAAATACAAACGTTTATGGGAGGGAAACATCGTGCGTGGTACTTCGAGAATACAAAGTGTTGACTGACTGCGTGATCCGCCGTCGCGCGCGTCCGCGATCCGAGTCATATCTCTTTTTTGTCGACGCAATGTCGTACGATTAGAGTTACAATCGCGCCGGTGATGAAAGCCGACGCCGACGGCGCCGCCTCGCGCATCGACGAGATTTACGGACTCGCGAATAAAGAAAATTGCGAACGTAGCTGAGGGGAGGACGGTTGCGCTTGCGACGGAGCGAGGAGCGGGGGGGAGTCACTTCGGTTTATAGGCCCCGGTATTTTCCGCTCGCGGAAAATTCGCGTCAATCGTTCCGCTGGCCGACGCTTTTTCGTTCCCGAAACGATTTTGCCGACCGAACGTGCGGAATATTTTTCTTTTTTAGCGATCGCCGAGCAAGAGAAAAGACCCATAAAGGGGAGAACGCGTACAGCACCCCTTTTTCCGCTGTGCTTACGAGAAAATTCCGCGCTCGCAAAGGGCAAACTCGCGCGGAAGCGTGTTTTATCACGCGATAAGGGATGTTCGCTCGATATTTACCTCGCGTTCCTGCAAATGTAACGTGCGAACATTACACGCCCTCGATCATTATGAAAGTTACGAAAGACACGACGTATCAGATCGTGCGCGCGCGCGCGTGCAGTCGTCGCAAGCAAAGTCTATTTATCAAAGTTGCAGGAAGCAAGACCGGCAAGCTTGTATACACGAGTATCGTGTTACAGCCCAAGTTTGTCAAATTTGCATCGTTTCCGACGGCTTATCGTGTCGCCGCGGAATTTGCCTCGCTCTCACCGCTCTCGCATGTGCGTGCGCGCGCGCGCGCGTAATTTGACGTTTTTCAAAGTTCTCGAAAGGTATTGTCGCCGGAACAACCGCGGCGGCGGCGGCGGCTCAATAATAACATCGTACAAACGAGCGTGAAATTACGGCTACCACGCGCCACGGAAATGAACGCGCCGAAGAGGCGCGAAAATGCGAGCGGGGGAGGAAAAAATTGCGAGCACCTGAGTAGAGGTCGAGCAGCGCCGATTGCGCGTGCCGATTTGGAACTCTTCGCTTCGAGCTTTTCGTACGCGAGCTCGAATAAGCTGCGAAAGCTGACTTTCGCATTTTTTTCCGTTTTTCATTTTTCTCTCTTTTCGTATAATCGCCGGATCGTCGATCGCGGAAATTTGACGAATGCGCGAAAAATGATGAGACGCTCCCCGACCGATATAATCCGTGCACCACCGCACCGCGATAATTCGTCAGTCGCTTTTATTCGGCCCATTAATAAAGTAAACGTTTGAAAATGTAACGCTGCGAGCCGAACTGCACCACTACCGATGGTGGTGCGCGGAAGATATTTATGCGATAACGTTGCGCTGTTGCGATCATTACCGTTGTTGTTCATTACCGATTGACCGCGTAATGGATACGATGATACTTTGCAACAAGAGCGGTTATATAGTTCCCGGTGAAATGAAATACGCCCGGAAATGTACGTAGTACGCACGTGTAGAAAGGAGAAAGAAACTGATTGCGGTGTAAATCGCTCCTCTACATGCGAGCTCTCATCGGAAATGTATTATAGATGCATCGATAAACGGCATCTATTAACCGTTAAAAGCGCAACGTAATAACGCTTGCATCACGATTTGCATGACGAAAAGTGGCAGAAATTCTCGCGATGTCGATGACGACAATAGTAGGCAAATTCGCTTGTGATTCTTTATGCAATTGTTATAATTTACCATTGAGACAAGAGTTCTCGTACGAGCGAGAACGTTGCTGGATGATTACTGGTGACACCGGCCCCATTGGAGATCGCGGTATCAATCACACGATTCGGAATGCAGAAGCGATGCAGAAGCCGGCTCGTTTGAACGAACGAATCTTGAGTAACGGTGATAACACCGGCGATTCGGACAAAGAGCGCGCTCGCTCTTTTCGAGCAAACCCGAGACGAGCCGGTTTGCCCGTTTGCCCGAGTTGAGCCATAACTATCGACTCACCTATTCGCCCGTACATTAAATCTATCGGTTGTGAGTGTCACGTTTGAAAAATTCGACTCGAACAGTTTCAAGCCAACGCAATTTCCCCGCAATTTCTATTCCAGCTCCGGTCTTCCTTCCTTCCTTCCTTCCTTCCCTCCCTCTTCCCTTTTCTCGGGAAGCTTTTTCTCCCGTGCAATTATCTCCCTTCCGCTTTCCGTCGCGCGGGGGACGCGCTCCTTCTCCTTCATTTCGCTCGGACTCTTTCGCTTACTTCGCTACGTACGCGAAACGCGAGTACGAAACGTATTATCTCACGTTTCAGTGAACGATGACAAGAGGAGCGATCGTTCGCGATGACGACGAACGTTACGCGCGCCGATCGATAGGGGATTTACATCGAGAAATAATACCCTTCCGCCACGCCGCAAGGGGCTGCGGAAGGCTGCGTATCTATGTATCTGCTTCGCGTATATGTAGCCGGCTTAAGATCGTATCGCGCATTATATACTCCAAGCACGGCAGATTTCAATCGATCGACCTTTTGACGAGACGCGGGGCGCGATGGCGCGCAATTGCAATTACGCGTACGATAAAATAAGTATCCGGTAAGATATCTGGCTGCTCGCGCGTAAATTTATTCAAGAAGCAACCGGAAGAGAGATACGCGCATACCCTGCTCCTTTTCAAGGACGCGTTGCGCACGACAAGATGAACTAACCAAAGGATTGTAAAGGATGCGAATGAAGTAGGGAGGTAATACGAGGGAGCGTGTAAAGTGTACAAAGAAAAGTAAGAGATTAGCCAAAGACCAAGGGCGTGGAATCGCGCGAGACACAGCCGACGGCGCGCAAGTGTCGTGGTATCGGTCGACGCCGATCGTCGAGTCGGCCGCGGGAAATTTGCCTAATTAAGCGGTAAGCGAGAGATCGTTTTAATAAAACAGGCACGCGCAGGCGAACACGAGCGGGCGAGCGCGATGCGCGGTGATGCGCGATACGCGTAATCATTATCGATACCGAGGTCCCGAGATTGCCATTTCCGAGATTGCCGTGTGTGCCGTTGCGAACCGAGCCGGGGCAACGGGGCAACGGGGTCCTGTTAATAATGTAAATCATCCGACCTGGGCTATACATTGACGTAAAACGCGCGCGCGCGCGCGCGCATTGACACGGATCGAATTTGCTTCGGCTCGAAAGCCATTGGAGCTGATGCGTTTGCGTTTGCGCGATTACGCTCTCCCTTTCCTTCCCTCTTTCTCTGCTTCTGCGAATTGATATTAAATTGATATTATGAAACACATAAAGATAAAGGATCCGCGCATGCGCGCGGAACATATGCGTAGACGGGAACACGGATAAAAATCGCAAGCATGAATTCCGCCGCTTCGCGAGGAGGCGCTTCATTCAGGCATAATTTATGCCGTCGCGTCGACCGCACGAACGTTATCCCACGTATCTGGAGCGTATTATCACGAGGAGAGAGATGATCCATCTCCTCCACGAGGAGTTGGAAACTCCTCGTGTTCCCAAACTCGTACGCCAAACTCGGGGATCTCCGCGACGCGGCGACGGTTGTTTTACTTCCGACCTTGTGTAAATAATAAGTCGCGCGCCACTGCTCGTCGCCGAGCGAGACAAGAGAGACAGAGCAGAGTGGGGATTTCTTGCGAGCGTGGCACAATTATAGAGGAATTTCGTCCCAAAGAAGCTCCCTGAGTTTCGCGCTGAACCGCGAAAATTGCGGTGCTGAATAAATAATGCTCAGAGATAAATAACGATTAGAGGCTTCTTCAAGGCTTCTGAGCAATATCTCGTACGCTCGCACCTCGATATTCGCTCCATTATTACTTTCTTTCTTTCTTTCTTTCTTTCTTTCTTTCTTTCTTTTTTGCCTTCTTCCCACATGCGCGGACGTAAAAAGAGCAATTTCCTCGCGATCTCGAGCTCAAGCTCCGATATCTCTTGAAATACCACCGCGCGCCGTAACGCGCTCGCGTGTCCTCGGATAATTGATAACTGGCAAACACTTGAGCACCGAGCACAATCGATCAGCGGGTTTACTTAGCCTTTATCGAATCCGACTGATCATCTTGCTGGTCAACGTTGCGCAAATACTCCATGTTTATGTCGTCCGTCCCGCGTACGATCGACATCGGATCGATTAATCGACCTCCCTCCCTCCCTCCCTCCCTCCCCCCATCTCTCTCTCTCTCTCTCTTTCTCTCTCTCTCTCTCTCTCTCTCTCTCTCTCTGTTACAGCCTGAGAACCGAGCAGCCCAGCGGCCTGGACACAGGCGGGGTCCGGCTGGAGCTGAGCAAGGCCCTCAACCTCTGGGCCAGGAACTCCAGGCTGACTTTCCGCGAGGTCAACAGTGATCGCGCCGACATCTTGATCTACTTTCATCGGTGAGTTTGCATGCGTGCGATCCTTTTATTCTCTTGCAATACCTCTCATCTTTTATCAATCGCGACTCGTCCCATATATATATATACATATCCCGAAATGTATACAAAACGAATGCAATTTCAACAACTTTCCAACTAAAATAATGACGGGGAAAAATTAAAGGTGGAGAGGTTGTGAGAGAACACACAAAAGACTAGCAGCGCATTTGAGAACTCGACCTCTCGGTCGAATGTGATAAAGCCCTTTGGCGGAAGGGCTCTCTGGCTTGGCTTATTTCGTCGAATTCGGGTTTCGTCGAATATACACGCGACATTAACAACACACATAACGTGACTTGACGTTATTCCGTGAGCGCGAGCGCGAGCGCGAGCTGCCTATGCGAATGCAAGATGGTCGACAGAAAACGGCAATTTTGGCGGCAGCCGGTAATTTTGCGCATTATTTAGGGGTTATCACGGAGATGGATATCCGTTCGATGGCAGAGGTCAGATTCTGGCGCACGCGTTCTTCCCGGGCAAGGATCGCGGCGGGGACGCTCACTTCGACGAGGAGGAGATATGGTTGTTGCAGGACGACACTAACGAGGAAGGTAAGCTTATTTTACTTATTTCCAGTGTCTTCGTGTCTCCGTGATATCGCTGGCGCTGGTCGCTGGTCGCTGGTCGCTGGCGCGCGCCGTGAAAGAAAGAAATAAAGAGAAAAGGAAGAAATGGCTCTTCGACTCCATCTAACCGACGTCGAACGTCGGTCAGACGGTTATATCAGTCGAGTATTCTCGACTGCTCGATATAAAACGTTGGACACAGCCGCGCGCATGTAAAGGTATTCACGAGCGGCCTATGGCGGCGGATGGCGCTTCTTTTCATCGACGTTTCGATTCCGTTGTGTGAGTTCTTTGGAAAGCAGCGTTGCTTTCCAAACGCGAAATGAACGAGAGAGGCAAGGAGGGGGGAAGGAAGGAAAAGCGCGATTGTGCCCGCGCGATTCGCGATCCCGTCGACCCGTCGTCATCATCCTCGTGACGATTAGCGATTCCCGCGAGCGGGAGGAGAACCTGCGAGAACGCGCGAAACCTCGCGCGAGCAACCTGTTGGAATGATTAATGGTGTTTCCTTAAACAGGTCACGGCAGCGCGCAGTTTAATTAACGCTCAATCGAAGCGACACGCTCAGCTCACTCGCGCGAGAAACGAACCCCGTGAAGGTGCACGAAGGATACACATCCGTCACTCTACGCTCCTTCGTCCAGGCTCGCTTAATTGCGCTTAATTTACGCCGCGTATTACCGTGAATTATCTGTCCTGACGATGACAATTAGCCAACCGGCGCGCGAAAGTGCTACGCGAAGTGCTTCTGTCCATTAAACGCCGCAAACTTCCCTAAACGCTTCTCGACGGCCGCGCCGCCGCACGGTGAAATCTCGCGAGATAGATTTCCATCTCGCTCGCGCGCGCGCGCGCGCGCGCACACACACATGCACATTCTATGTTTCTCGCCGACACCCTTTTCGCTCCGCTGCGCGTAAATATTACATTCGCATACACATTCTCGAATTTATCGTTATAATTATTTCCTTCGTTTCGAAAGAGGTAGGGGTTTGTCGGGAGGAAGGGACGCATCTTGTATCGCGTGCGCACGCATGTTTAATTAGTCGTTGTTTTCGCGAGTGGCTTTCACTTCAGCCGATCCATCACTCGGGAGTAATTAGCGAGAGAATAATTAACGACGACTTAGACGTATACGGTCGATGGTTTATATCCCATCGCGGCTCGCAGAAGAGGAGAAGAAGGTCACGTGAAGTAATTTTAGTCGATATCACACCTCGAAGTGCGGTGAACGATGCACACGGCGACGAAAGCACAGCGCTCGTCGCCGCACTGTGTGCTCTCGCGCGAGCATTGTTACATGTATGATGTAACGCTGCGCGCGTAATTAACCCGCCGCCCTTCCTCTGTCTGCCCATTAGGGAGGAGGCGTTTTCTTTAGTCGAGCATTTCGAGCGATAGTCATCCGCGAAATGACTCGCGAGATGCACGCTCCTCGTTCTTTCGTGAAGTAATTTGCTCGAACGGGTAACCGTGCTCGTCTTGCCGTACGAAGAAGTGAAATTTCTACCGCGTGCAAAGTTCGCACGTTCCAAGCTCATCCCACGCAACACAAAGTGTCGGTCGGTCGTTTCGTCGCAACTTTCAGACACGAATTTTTTATCGGAACTAGTATCGGGGCTTCTGTACATTCGTACAGCCAACTACTGCTCTGCGTTGGTGCAAGAAACATTACCAGGGGAGGGAGGGGGGTGGGGGAGAGAGTCAGGCAGTTGAGTTTTAATAAAAGTTTGAATTTCGAACGAGAC